CTGCGAAATCTGAAGGAGGTTCACAAAGATCAGTTGCATACAGCTCACCAAGAAAACCCACAGTTTTATTTGCAGGTATGGACATCGGCGAACCCATAATAAAATTAGTACACTAGCTCTTCCCATTCACCAATACCTGCCAAACTACCTATGTGTCTCGGATCTGACAAACCGCGTGACGTGACTGAAGAACACAATATGAGTTCAAGTTTCGCCTTGTGGAGCTCATCGCCACAAAGCGTACGCCGGAGGTTTGTACGTACCTGACCCGGTGTCCAGAGAGCAGGAGCAGCGCCCCAAACAGAGCTAGCGGGGCCCTCCGCTGAACCCACCGATCACCCATGGTGCCGAGCGCAGCGGGCGGTGCGAACTGAGCCGGGCTCGCCGCCGCCGCCTGTTTTAGCCCCGGGGCAGCCAACCGTGGGCCGGCCACTGGGGAGGACCTTTCACCCCTGGCCACGGACGTACCGGCGACTCCCATCCTGCGGCCGGTCCCCTCAGAGCGGGCCGTCCTGCTGTCCGCTCCAAGGCCTCATCTCCGGGTCAGTCGCCCGCGGCACATCTCTGCGGTGAGGCGCGGCAGCCGGCAGAACTGATGAGCGCCAGAGGCTCGGCGCGTCGGTGGTGAACACACCGAGTGTGGCGCCCGGTCATGGCTGCGGTGTCCGGCAGACCTGACCGAGCAGGCTGGGCAGATGCTGAACGGACGAGCGCTGGAGGCTCGGCGCGTCGGTGATGAACGCACCGGGTGTGGCGCCCGGTCATGGATGCGGTGTCCGGCAGACCTGACCGAGCAGGCTGGGCAGATGCTGAACGGACGAGCGCGGAGGCTCGGCGCGTTGGTGATGAACGCGACGGCGTGTTGCGCCTGATCACGGCTGCCAGTGTTGTCTGGCTGGCCGGACAGATGTTGAGCAATGAACAGCCCACTGTGTCATTTCATTGACAGGGAGATGTCCTGCGGACGTAAGCCGCAGACAGATATTTGACCAGCGCATCTGTAGTTTCAGTGAGTGCTAGTCGAACAAAAGAGGTGATAAAATCTCAAACGTGAGTGACCGGCGTGACCCGGCTCGGCCCTCGCTTTTCTGACAGGTAACGGCGCGGACAGGGTTCCAACATGAACGACAGAAAAATAGCATGCACCTACCCGGTAAAGGACATAAAATCCGAAAAACGGAACAACAAACATCCTCACAACCAGCCATCGTATTTTTATTCAGTTCCCAAACACGAGCTACAGTTCTTGATCGTCGTGCTATCGAATTTTTAGTCTTCGTCATTCTGAATATTTTCCTATCTTCCCTACACAAAAGCGGGCCCACGGGGGAGCGGAGACGCACCCTACAAACGAGGGAGCCCAAAAGACGCCCTGAGATCTCAAAAGCTAAGCAGTCTGAGACCACGCAGAGAACGGCATTGCAATGTTCTCATCAAACTGCATCAGATGCATTTGTAAAACAACTGAGTGTGGCTACAGATGGGTCAAATCATACTAAATACTACTACATGCTACTCAGCCGCATTCTGTCACTTACTATTCTGATTAATTTGTTGATCCTGGACAGCATAACGAGTGCCGAAGATACACCTGTGGGGCTGCTGCGGTTGTTTCAACCTGCGGAACGGCAGCGTCGCCATCGGCACCACCCTGCTGACGCTCTACTGCCCGCCCTTCGTCTTCTTCGTCACCCGTGTCGCCTACCCTGCAATGATGATACATGAGTGGCACGAGACGGACGGCGAACGAGCGCTGATGATCGTCAGTGTAGTGAACTTGAGCGTCTTCGCCTCCCATTTGCTCTTCAACAGCCTCTCGGTGCATGGCGCTTTGAAGGGAGGCGCGGCATGGTGATGGCATGGTTAGCCTGCCATGGGATCTTCACAAGTCTGCACGGCGTAGCCGTCACCACAGGCCTCGTCTATGCTTCCTGACAGGCCTCTGCTATACTTCATGGTGTTCGTCGGTTCTGAGGCGTTGTTAGCGACGTTCTGGTACTGGTTTGCCGTCGTCCTCAGCTTCTTCTGGACGATGTCCAGGCGCGGTGAATACCCATAGAGAATACAACGAAGTAATGAGACGATGCGGACGCAGATCAGTGAGAAAAAATGTATCGAGCATATACCGCATCTACTGTGCTGCTTGTAACTCTGACTCTCTATCTTCAGAGGCGTTGCCATGACGTCTCGGAACCCCACCCGTGTTTTGAGGCCTGAAATGTGTACGGTCCCACGGTGCAGTCTGGTGCTGGGGGACAAGTTTCGCAGTACACGGCTTCAAATCAAAGTACAGGATGTTTACTATAGCGAACATTCGAAACGATGTTTTCTACAGCTGCAACTAAGTTCCTGTACTATATACATTAAACCGTCAGTGTTCTTCCTCGATACCGTCGAGTAGGTGAACATAAATTCAAAGTGACCAAGGCGGACTTCGCAATACGTTTATTGTTCCGATAAGTGCAGGTGCTGGGCCACGGCAAGACACATCATGACAAACCTACAATATGGATAATGAACACACACAGCCTTCTTGCACATTTTCACCGCATTCCCCCGGGATCACAAGCAGCGTGTTAGCGTCTTCAAACGTGAGGCGGATGAGAAAATGAACAGAGCTCGAACCGCGCCAGATGTAAGGTTACCAAGTTTATTCACAACACTTGTTGGTGATGCACACGCAATGAGATTGTGCAGGAACACAACCACGGATGAACACATTTACACATATCTATGAGTTCATTGAGCGGAATGATAAGCTACATAACGATCAACCTCTCGATACTCTTGTCAGTGTCCTTCCCATGCAAGCAAAAAGCTGCAACAATGCATTGCGGTACAGTTCTGAGCCTCACCTTTAAAACAGACTGCATTCACCTACAAGAACAGCATGTGCGCACTCCTCCCCCAAACCATCGATCATGGCTCTGGCGTGATAGAACCTCCCATCTCACTGGCCGCCATCTTGTCCATGAGCGTCTTCACCTCGGCCACGACAGTGGACTCGTCCAACCGGAGGGAGCGCAGGCGTGGGGCGCACGCGGTGCTGCAGTCGCGGAAGGTGAGGAAGCTGTTGGCGTTGCCGTCGCAGCCGGTGTACATGAACGGCCGGCAGCGACGCTCCTCGGCGTCGTAGAAGAAGCGAAGCAAGCGCCCAGAGCAGAAGCCCGGCGCCCGCTCGAGGGCGCAGACCTCTGCACGAGGAGGAAGGTCATAGTGAGGCGGGGGGGGGGGGGGGGGAGGGGGAAGGGTTGAATCGAATAATATCTTTTGGATATGCTCGGGAGCATGCCGACCGTCGAGTTGTAAATCAAACGTAACGATCCAAACAAAGGCGACCTACGCAGTGGCTTCGTCATGACATCTGAAGACTGTGACGCTTTCAAATCAAATAGCGGTTGGCCCCATGAAGCACCAGCGTGCCTATTATCGGTTTCAACATTTCTGTTTTAGGCTCGTGCTCAAACACACAGCAACGCAGCGCATCTCATGGTGCAGAAATGCACTAGATTTGGATCCAAAAGAACAATGATCCATTCTCCTCCATACGATCCTATGACCAGGATGAGCTGCGATGCATTACGAATGAACATCTCTCGGATATCTCGAGCAGCAATAACACGGTGGTGAGACGGAGCGGGCGGATGCTCAGCCGTCATGTCTCCGTCCACAGAGTGCCCAACACGCGGTCAACTTCCGCGCACGACGGCACAACACGGGATCGGGGGTCACAGTGACCGATGCGACTCTCACCGTCAACTGTTATGGAAGACGCTTCTAGACGATGCTGGTTATACTAGATCTTATGCTGTGTGGATTCTGCAGAAAACTCGTCAACAACAATCCTGGGAGGCGGACCAAATTCAAGACAGCACGGCAGCTGCAGCACGCGGCGAGTCAATGACCACCGAGTATGTCCGGGCTTGTTTGCCATCGTAGGCTCGGAAGCCTTACCTCTGTCACTGAGCTGTGGCATTTCCTCGGCCTGGCACATCTGCTGGCAGTCCGCGAGGTTCAGAAAGTTGTTTTCCGTCGGCACGCATCCCGTAAACGTGAACGAGACACAGCGGCCCAACGCAGAGTCGAAAAAATACCTGCGACATCAACACGCCGACCTTGTCATCGCTGCACCTGCTCGTGTGACCGGACAGCAAACACGGGGCACATGGCGCGCGACCGGTTTCGCCGCTTAACGCTGCTCAATTCCACACTTAATGCTGCAGTTGGGGGACCGGAAGAAGTGGGCCAATGCACGCACCAGTGGTGTTGTGCGCGGTGGTGCGTGAACTTGTATATTGTATTCTTTTCACGAGAGGGAGTGTGAGGCTGGTGTTGGCAGACGAGTATACGTAATGCGCTCCTACGGTAAACACGTCCTCCGCCCAGTGGGCGTGACCGGTGTATATACAGCTCTCCCCCCCACATCGCTTTCCTGGCGTGCTTGAGAACAGTGCACATTGCAAGGTCAGGCGCCAGCAGCTGGTGTGCACCGTCAGCACGCAGCTGAGACCCCCTCGTCCTCTCCGACTTCCGTTCCCCATTCCCCAGCAGGCGGGGGTGCGATCGGGCCGGGCCGTGCGCGGGGTACCGAGCGGAGGCGGCGGCGCCTCACGGTTACGTCGAGCTCTCAGAGGTCAGCAGGTGCGGCCGCGCGGCTCCCGGATGTCCAGACCCGGTCCTCGGGCGCCGTGACCCGGTCCTCAGGTGCCGTGACTACTCCTCAGATGTTCTGACGCGCTTCTCAGACGCTGTGACCCATTACTCAGGTGGGCCGACCCGGGCGTGGGATGTCCTGCCTCAGTTCCCATACCATGCCAAGTGCCTCGGCTATTTCGACTCGGACCGGGTCACGGGTGATGACTAACGCTCCGTAAGTCGTCGGTTGACATGGGGGAAAGCCTCGACAAACGTTACGAGAAAGTAGTTCACCCAGGCCGTTAACGTGAGCGATATATCAACGTTGCATCTGATGACCGATGTCGCCATTGCTCACCTGTCTCCCAGGGTCTCAAAGGCTCTCCTGCCGTGCGGTTCCCAGACGCTACCGTACATCATACACCAACAGCTCCTCAGATATGAAGGCGAACGACTCCTTGCCCAGTCTCCCGCATCTCAACATGGACCTACCGTATCTGAGTTCTGAGAACCTCACAACGGTCACCCAACCTCTCATTCCTCATCCTGTCCCATCCCCTCCGGTACATCTAATCGCTCAAAAGCTTCATGAGCCACCCAACACCTCGCCCCCAACTGTCTCCTCCCAGCCCCGCCAGCGCCTCCGCCCCCCCCCCCCCCTGCCTCGCGGCCTGGCCGGAGGGCCGACGCTCACCTGGACTCGCGGACCCCGCAGTTGACTGCGCCGTCCTCGACGGGCGGCAGCAGACACACCTCCTGGCTGTCGACGGCGGCGCCGCTGCCGCAGCTCAGCAGGCATGCGCGCTCCGACTTGAACCGGTTCTGGTTACCGCCGCAGCCCGAGTAGGTGAAGCGGCGGCAGCGGTTGGCCGCCGGGTCGTACGCAAACCTCGCCAGTCGGCCGTCGCAGCGGCCCGACTCCTGCCGCTGTGTGCACTGGTCTGCCGAGGAGGGGACGAGGTCACTGGTCAGCGGCGTAGGGGACGGGGTCACTGGTCAGCGGAGGAGGGGATAGGGACGGGGTCACCAGTCTACGGAGGAGGGGACAGGGCCACTGGTCAGCGGAGGAGGGGACGGGGTCACTAGTCTGCAGAAGAAGGGACAGGGCCACTGGTCAGCGGAGGAGGGGACAGGGACGGGGTCACCAGTCTACGGAGGAGGGACGGGGTCACTGGTCTGCGGAGAACGGGACGGGGTCACTGGTCTGCAGAGGAGGGGACAGGGCCACTGGTCAGCGGAGGAGGGGACGGGGTCACTGGTCAGCGAGGAGGGGACAGGGACGGGGTCACCAGTCTACGGAGGAGGGGACAGGGCCACTGGTCAGAGGAGGAGGGGACGGGGTCACTAGTCTGCAGAAGAAGGGACAGGGCCACTGGTCAGCGGAGGAGGGGACAGGGACGGGGTCACCAGTCTACGGAGGAGGGACGGGGTCACTGGTCGGACGGGGACGGGACGGGTTACTAGTCTGCAGAGAGGGACAGGGCCACTGGTCAGCGGAGAGGGAGGGACGGGGTCCAGTCTGCAGAGGAGGGACAGGGAGGGGTCACGGCGGAGGGGACGGGGTCACTGGTCTGCAGAGGAGGGACAGGGCCACTGGTCAGCGGAGGAGGGGACGGGGTCACTGTCTGCAGAGGAGGGACAGGGCCACTGGTCAGCGGAGGAGGGGACGGGGTCACTAGTCTGCAGAGGAGGGAACGGGGTCAGTGGTCTGTGGCGAGGGGACGGGATCACCGCTTTGCGACGGCGGTATGATGGAACTGGTCTTCTGTGAAGGGAGAAGGGTATCACTGATCTTTAGTGGATGGTAGGACAGGTTCCACTGGTCTGGAATGGAGGGGAGGGGAGGGTGTAAGTGGTCCATAGTAGACAGGAGCGGTACCACTGATGTAGAGTGGAGGTGGGAGGTGTCCGGGTGTACCGCAGAATGGGCGGGGTGCCAATGGTGTGCGGCGGAGGGTGTGTGGGCTACCACTGGTGTGCGTCAGAAGGTGTGTGGGCTACCACTGGTGTGCGGCGGAGGGTGTGCAGGCTACCAATGGTGTGCGGCGGAGGGTGTGCGGCGGGGGTGTGTGGGCTGCCACTGGTGTGGCGTGGACAGAGGAAGTTACTGCTGGTCTGTAGAGGAGGGCAGCGGTGTTGCCGATATGGCGTGGGTGAAAATGTAATTGGTCTCAGTACAACGAGAGGAAGGTGTCACTGGTTTAAAGCGAACGATAGAGACATTTATCTTCTTAGATGGCGTTGGTGCCATGGATCGGTCCTGAGATGGTTGGAAGAAATATAAGGTGAGAGCTGTGCATGTAACGTTTGGAAGAGGTCGACTGTTTCTGTAAGAAACGCAGTGGTGGATTGGTGCACGGTAGAAAAGATTAATTGACCCGTTAAGGGGAGCGGGGGAGGTGACTGATTTTACTCCAATCTATGCAGCAAGTAAAGACGTTGTATTATGTAAATGGTGGGTCGCATTGGGTGAACATGACGTTCCATTGGATTAGATAGCACTTATCAGGTTGACACTGCACATGTCGCGTTACACATGACCTGACTTTCACGTCATGGATGCAACTGTGAGGATGTAGCCATCACATTTCGGGTGTATTGTCCAATAGCAGCCATTATACATAAGACGAAATTGTGAAGGTTAAACATTCTCTGTGAAGCAATAAGAGTTCAATACGTGCAGGCGCCGAACACAGCTAAATGGGATAATGCAAGAGCTTAAGTTGGCAACGGAGTCAGTCAAAGTGAAATGGGATGCATAACAGCCAGCTGAAGTCAGCACCTACCTCTCGGTTGGCATGTGTCCCTGCACTCCTCCCTGGTCATGAAGTTATTGCCTGTTTCAGTGCAACCCGTATATGTGAACGGAACGCAGAATCCCTGACGACTCGAATACCTGCAACGCAAATAATTTAGTAGTCACTTTAACGACTCTGTGAAGACAGGGAAACGGTATTCTTTCCTTCCAGATGCTTTGAGCTACAAGGAAACTAGGCGAGATGTGTGAAAGTTGCCTATGTACCTAATTTGTGCCTGTGCGTGATGCATTCTGGGTAGTCACAAATATACATGCTATTTCCCAATTTCCCGGGAAATTTTGAAACTTAACCTCTCGTAATACAAATTTATATCGGTTCAGCATAATGCTAAATACGAACGTCAGCGAACCTTGCGAAGACTCACTCCCGCGCCAACGTCTCACACGTGGAAGACTACCCCGTGATCAAGCACCCCAGGCCGATCGAACAAAGCCACACAAAGACCCGTCCCACACTTTCAGGAGACCTTCGCTCATGTCGGCCAACCACCTGTGCCTGCCCAGTCCCTGCCTGCCACCACCTCTTCTGCGCCCTCCCCGTCCTCCTCTCACGTGTATCGCTTCTGCTGGCGGCCGCAGCTGGACGTGTCGGCCGGCTTCTCCTCGGGCGCCTCCAGGCAGCGCTGCTGCGTCGGCGGCCGGCCGCCCTCCGAGTCCCGTCCCCGGCACGCCGTCCTGCAGTCCCGCAGCGAGCGGAAGTTGTTGGCCGTGGCGCCGCAGCCCGAGTAGCGGTAGGAGCGGCACGCGCCGCTGGCCAGGTCCCAGAAGAAGCGTGTCACCTCGTCCCGGCACGGGCGGTCGTTCGTCTCCGGCGGCTGCGGACAAGTCATGTCAGGTCAGATCAGCTCAGGCCAAGCAAGAGAGGTCACCTCGTCCCGGCACCGCCGTTCGTTCGTCTCCGGCGGCTGCGGACAGGTCAGGCCAGGTCAAATAAGATCAAATCAGGTCAGATCAGGTCAGATATGAGCGGTCGCCTCAACCCGGCACGGACGGCAGTTCGTCTCCGGTGGCCGCGGACGGGTCAAGTCAGGTCAAAGAGATAATTTTGCGTGGGCATGATTGGTGTCGCTCGTCTCCGCTGTCTACGGGAAAGGTCAGGCCAGGTTATAGTGACTTGGAAACTTGGAAGTCGCGCACAGCTGGCAACTGGCTTTAACGACTGGTTGTAGATCGCATTAGGTGCGGTAAGCAATATGCAAAGAACGAAAAGACTCCGGCAGCATCCGTTCTCCATCCTGCGCTTCTCAGTCCCGGGTGAGACTGATGGGACGCAAAGTTTCCTGGCACACATCCGCTCTCGTCTTGACATCTCACGATGGCGGCTTGTTTCTTGTGGGTCCTCACCGACCCCCGGACCCTGGGCTCGCTTTTACCTGGCTGAAAATGCCAGCCTGATGTCTTTTTCAGCGAGTCACATTTTTGTTTTTGTCTCGTGTTACCTCCTAGCAGACTTATTCCTGTCTGGTTTTCATCCGGCCGCATATATTCTTATCATCTTGCTTCTGCCTGTCACAGGCTATAAATCTGCTGCCGTTTTGTAGTTACCTGGTTTCTGGCAAATTCTCACCTCGGTTTCACCCAATTTTAGTCTTATTCTCGCTTTTTTCGTCGTCTGCCCGCAGCTGCGCTCTACTCCCGTTCTCACCTGGTTGCAGATCTCGTTCTCGGCCCGGTTGTCGTTCTGACAGCGCTCTAAACATTCCGCTCGCGTCAGGAAGTTGTTGCTGTTGCCCTCGCAGCCGCCATACTGGAAGGTCTCGCAGGTGCCCGAAGCCGGGTCTCGGTACCAGCGCGTCTCGAAGGCGGCGCACGGGCCCGGGTCAGACGGCAGCAAGCACATGCCAGCACCTGGTGGAGAGGCAGACATTGAAGAGGCAGGCAACGGCAGCTCGTACACCGGACCGTGTGGGAACTGGGCCGATATTACCCGGGGTGCAGCCAACTTTGCATATTGTCTGTTCAGACGACCGTGGCGGCTCGTGTGCGATACATCACTGATCAGAAATAGTGTATGTGCGCCTTTCATTTAATGTGTCATTCTTTACGGTATACCATAATGTTTTTGAAAGGTCCGCGATGAATGGTTCTTCTAGTGGCGTGGAATGTAGCTACACTGAAAACCGTACATAATCGTTACATGCACTCACGAATAATTTGGCTGATTTTGGAAAAAAAGAGGTACCAAAGAGGTTAGATGTGGGGCTTTCCGATTTAGTTGATGTTGTGGCCACAGAACGAAGAACCTCGCACGACTCAACGTAGTACGGAATGCGAAGCTAGTAAACTACGACGAGGATCACAAAGACTTGTATCCCACAAAACGAAGACGGCGTGGTTTGTTATGGATGCCCGAACTGGGCTGCGTTTCTTTTAAGATCTTGTCTAAATTCCGTCAGTAGCTGACTGACTATCCCAGTGTGCAGTATGGCGGGTATTGCCACTAGAACCGCCAAATTGGTCTGCAGTGTTTTTTGTTGTTGTCTTGTTTTGGAAGAGGGCCCATGGCTAAACCACCAGGAGGGGCATGCATACACATAAACAACAACAGATGCACTCCGGACTGAAAATGTCAGCTGTTGAACATTTTACACCAAGAATGCCCACCTTCCGTGTCGCTGGCATCGCAAGCCTCCCTACACTCCCGCATTGTGAAGAACATATTCCTGCCTCGTTCGCATCCGAGCGACACGAAGGAGCGACATCTCCCGTCAGCGGCGCTGAAGTAGTATTTGGTTTCACGATCACCAGGCCGGCAGTTGGAGATGGCCTCGGGCTCGGCACGGCAGAACTGGGGCCTCTCACCACCACCTGAATAAACAAAAGTTGGGCCATGGTATGTGGGCCCGTACATTTGGCATCCCAAGGTCGAACTGCAGCGGTACAGTAAATTCGAGAATTGTGATTGCCGTCTGTCTTTTCTGTGATCATGTTATGTAAGACATGTTATAATATAGACCTCCAGCGCCAGGTCAGCTAAACGGTCAGGTCACCTGACAGGTCAGCAACTGACACGTGCCAAAGACCCCGAGGCGTGCAGCGTTTAGTTAGACGCCCGCGCATGCGCACTGCTGTTGTAGCGCAATAGACGAGCCGAGCCGGTATCCAGGCGGTGATAATAGCGCATGGCATAACATTGATGGCTTTCAAAATGAAAAGCGTGCTTTGTTGCGTAGGTACCTAAAGCTCTGCAACAATCCTATCATTACACATTTTGCTGCGCCGTGATTGAACTGCAGCTTGCTGTTGGAGCCAGACTGTCTCCATCTAACAATGTCCCCACTCCCAAACCCACCGAAGCACTCGGCAGCGCTGCCAGATGCGCGATAGTCCTGCACCGGTCAACAGCCGGACGCCCTCCTCACCTTCGTCACGGCCACTGCATGCCTGCTCGCACTCCCGCCGCGTCAAGAACACGTTTCTGCCCCGCTCGCAGTCGACCGATACGAAAGAGCGACATCTACCGACGGCAGCGCTGAAGTAATACTTGGTCTGGCGGTCACCAGGCAGGCAGTTCGGATCATCTTCGGGTTCTGCGCGGCAAAACTGCGGGATACCGCCGCCACCATTATCTGAAAAAACGATTTTAGAGCAATTAACGGACAAATGCGCAAAAAGCTAGTCGTTGCACCATCATCGTTGGAAGCGAATGAGGCCTTTATTGGATGGGTAAGACGATGCGCTACATCAGCCTACACTTCGATGAAAAAGATTATGTGCTGTACTTCCCTTGTCTAGCTTCATCTTGCCTCCTCACGACACCCCAGTTATCCAGAGCTGGCTACACGCACCTAGGCTACACGCACCTAGCAGTAGGACGGGCCCCCTGGCGGGTGCCCAGTGTGAGGGCAGAGCACGTATCCTGAACGGGGCTCCCTGTGCGGACCGAGCCTTGGCGGAGGACCCGCAGTGGATGCAGTGTTGTCCCACCAGTATCCACTTGCCTTCATCTCGTGGCACCGAAATGATCATTAGTGACCGAGAAGGCTCTTATCAAACCAACACCAATCTGAGGAAAGAGACTCACGGTCGCTCTCACCTGTGTCTCGGTTCTCGCACCCCTCCTCGCATTCCCGAGCGGTGAGGAACACGTTTCTCCCACGCTCGCAGCCAACGGACACAAATGAGCGACATCTGCCGACGGCAGTGCTGAAGTAGTACTTGGTCTCGCGGCGACCAGGGCGGCAGTTGGGGTCCTCTTCGGGCTCAACACGACAGAGCCGGGGCTGGTTTTCAACTTCACCACCTGATGGGCACACAACACGTAAGCAGCTGTATACTTAGCAGTGAAAACGGTTGAGTTGTCTAATATGTATGTCCAAATATATCTTCAAATGGCGGTCAATTGGTTTCCTTGCGAGGATATCGTTGCAAGATCCACCCCATTTCGCTCTTTTGGGTTTTTCATCCGCTGCCCCTCCCTCACCGGCATCGCGGTCGCCGCAAGCTTGTTCACATTCCCTTCGCGTCAGGAACACGTTTCTGCCTCGCTCGCAGCCGACCGATTCGAATGAGCGGCATCTGCCGGCCGTGGCGCTGAAGTAGAACTTGGTCTCCCGGCTGCCAGGGCGACATCCTGCAATATCCTCCGGTTGGACTCGACAGAACTGCGGTCTTTCGTCCTCTCTTTCACCTGTGGACAACACAAAATGAGAGTTCGATACTGGTGTAGTGCACTTCCAATGTCACATGTAGAACTTCGGCATGAGCTTCCTCTGAGGGCACCCTCCATACCTCTATGCATGCATGTAGGTATCACACATGCCTGCATGTATACATGCATATGACTGTACCTATGATACTTCATACACATACATAACATAAACAGAATATATTTTCAGCCATGAGATGCAAAGCTAATCCACTGTGGAAGAAGCTCGGCTCCTCCGTATACTAACAGTTCAGGGTTTTAGTACATACACTCATAAGTCACACCTTTAATGATGTGAACAGGATGTTACCCAGGATGAAGCCAGATCGTAAAATATGGCGCTGTTTCAGCCAGGTTGCACCACTTTGTCGCAATATTGAACCATTTTTTGAATTTGGAGACGCTGTTAGGTTCGAGGCCCATTTTAATGCTCTGACGGCCAGCGTCATTTTTAAACATATCAAAACCACTCCGCGCGTCTAAAGCTGCCAAAACGTGCTCGGGCTTTCGGCTCCAGGGAACCCCGCCGCCACCTCCAAATGGCCACGACCCAAAAGGCCCCCTGCATTGACTACCTGGTCTACTCATTGTATATATAAACGAGCTTGATTGATGACCTGGCAACTCTTTGTAAAATATTTTGTCCGAGCCTTCTGAATGTATGTCTGTGATCAGAGTTCATGCCACCAGTGCTCGCTGCGTGAGCCCTAGCCCCGACACCAGATCGTAAACATACAGGGCAACGGCAGAATTAGAGGAGGAAAGCTTAACGCACCGCCATGCTACGCTCGGTTCGTCACGATCTTTGACGTCACTTAACCTTTAGGGTGGCCACTGCCACCGGCCATTCCTGTCAACAGCAAATAGCGAGAACCTAAAGCGGCTCGAATCCCCCCGCCCCCCGCCACGGGTGGGTAGATCGGAAGATAGACGCTCTAACCAACCACGCTATTGGGACGGACAGCGAGAACGGCTGCACTGCCCTTACAAGTCAGCCGGTTCTGGAGATAACGCCGTTAGCAGACATTTCAGTCAACAATGAGCACACCGAACGGATGGCTCCGACTCGTGACCCAACTCTCACTCCAGCGATCTAACCCTCCCCCTCTGCCTCCTCTGCACTCACCGCGCTCCCCGGGCGCGCAGACGGAGAGACAAGATTCCCGGCTGGTGAACATGTTGTCGCCGCTGTCGCAGCCGCGGTAGGTGAAGCTGTCGCAGGAGCGGCGCTCGCGGTTGAAGTAGAAGCGCTGTTCGCCGCCTGACGGCCGACAGCCCAGCAGGCGGCGCGGCGGCAGCTGACAGAACTCCGGCGGACCGCGGTCCTCGCCGCCTGGTGGCAGCGGCGGCGCAGCTGAGCTCCGAGTGGAGCAGCACAGGGCGAGTCCACTAGACGACCGAGTAGGTGAGTCCACCGCCGGGTGAGAGAAGGCGGGAAGAACGGAGCCGTTGACCGACTGCGTGGGTAGTTTCCACAGCAAGAGGATTGGTCAGCCGTTAAGTACAGACTTACTGGTGCTTACTGTGTAAGTAACTGGTGCTTACTGAAAAGACTGGTAAACACGCAATAGCCAAGACAATTTTTTTCCAAAAAAGGAGAGGAAACCACTTTGGCCTTGGTAGTATTGACTATATGTGACTATAGTTCCCACGCCAGGGCGACAAAAAGGGCGGCATGAAAAGGGCTGGCTGACTGTTTTTGCTCGTTCATGTAATAGGGAGTAAGACATGCTGGTCAGCACTCGATAAATACAGCTGCACAAGAGCTTCCTCTTCTAGGTAAAGCCTCGGGGCAATATTTTCATTCACATGGTGAACGTAGAAGCAGTGGGTTATTCACGCCCGTACATGGAGAGGAACACACGAGCTGCCGTGGTAAGAAGGCGACCAGCACATCTGCACCCTCCCCCGCTCTGCCTCTCTCTCCCCCTGCCCCGCTCTGTAAGCCTCACCTTGGCTAACGTCCCCGCCACAGCGAGACTGACACTCCGCGCGCGACTCGAAATTGTTGGCGTTGCCGTCACAGCCCGTGTAGAAGAACCACTCGCATCGGCCGGTGTCAGTGCTGAACGCCCAGCGGCGCAGTCTACCCCTGCAGGTGCTGCCGGGTTCTACGGGCAGCCGGCAGATGGCTCCTCCTTCGCCACCGCCCGCGCAGCTCTGCAAACACTCCTGCCACGCAAAATCGCCCGTCAGTTTGATCTAAAAGTCAACAGTACTCAAATCCCATTTGTCCAGAAGCACGTCACATGGCTTAACGGAAACTACCTCGCATGCCATTCCAACAAGAGACAGGCGGGCGGGTAGGACGGCAGGTAGCCCTGAAAACGACGGATTCAGGTAGACATTAGAAACAAGCATCCGCCGTTCGTATCTCAGTCTTTCTTCGTCCTGCATCCTGGCGACACCCCAGTTCTCTGGGGAAGGCTGCCTGCGCACATGCGCAGATTTAAGTGCATTCAGGTGAGGACCCAGTCCGAAGGCCGAGCACACATCCCGCACAGAAGTCACGGCGGAGTCTCGGCAGAGGACCCCCGGAAGCGAGCAGCTTTGTCTAAATACTATTCACTCTCCTTCATTCCAACGAACTAAAATTGTCGTCAACACCTCTAGTCCATACCAAACCAAAATTGGAAGCAGACCTGCATCTCTCATAGCGATACGCGCAGTCCAATTGAGAATCAATGACAAGCCGCTATATGCTGGTGAACCACCATCCTCTGTCTGGCTTAGGCGCACACTTCATCTTCGTCTTGCCCACGATGCATGCAAATCAGTTGAAGCAACGGCCTGGTCACCTCAAAAACAAAAAGGTTTTCGTTTGTTATTTACATAAAAAAGGAGATATATATCTATATACATATACATATATATATATATATATATATATATATATATATATATATATATATATATATATATATATATATATATACGAAGGACTATGACCAGCTCACCATATCACCTAAACAAATAAAAAGGCTTCAGTTTGTATATATATATATATATATATATATATATATATATATATATATATATATATATATACATATATATATATATACATAT